CCTTAACTCATCCCCTAGCCTTCACCCCCACGCCCCCTCATTGGTTTAATGATTCACTCTCTCAGCCTTTCTCTAGCTTCCTGGGTGGCAGAGCCCTGAGTCTCCAGGGGCTAAATAGGAAAGGGGATGAATGAGACTGGGTGAGGTAGAATGACAGCAAGCTGGATTCTTGGAGTCTTTTCATCCAGTTCTGGTCTTGCCACAAGACGTCTCCCTGTATAGGGAGAACAGTGAGTCTAACTAGGCCCAGCTGGAGCCCCAGAGTCCAGACGTGGGAGCTTGTGGTGAAACCTGATTCCAAGGTCCCTTTATTTCCCCTGCCCTGCTTGAAGCCCTGAGGAAAGTTTCCATTGTAAACAAGTTATGCATTCCTAACCCAGGGCCTCCCCCTCCTTCCCACCAGTTCCCTTGCCTCTTCAGCATCTCCCCACCCTCACCTTGTGTCTGCATGAGGATCTGTCCACATGTGAAAGCAGTCATGTATGTAGTCTTGTTGATAAGTGTGTAATGTGTGAGTTGTCTTGGAACGGGAGTGTGAGCAGGTATGCAGGCTCAGCTCAGGTGTAAATGTGAGGATGCTGGCAGGTATGGAAGGCAGATGTGAAAAACAGATGTGTTTTTATAGAGGAAGTTTGTTTATGCCCGCAGGAAGAGGTGTACATAATGTGGAAGTTGTCTCCTGAGTTTAGACAGGGGTCATAAACCCAGGAAGCAATCCTATACACAGCAACAAAACATCTATTTCTAGCCCAAATGTGTGGCTTATTTACTTTCCTAAGCATCCTTGGTTGAAAAATTACCTTCTATGTTTCCTGTTTGGTGTCTAAAAACTGTTCCAGGGCTGGCGAGGTGGTTCACTGGGTAGCAGTGCTTGCTGCCAAGTCTGATGACCTGAGTTCAATCCCCAGAACCACATGGTGAAAGCAGAGAACTGAGTCCTGCAAGTTGTCCTCCGATCTCGCATATAGATATAGCACGCGCACACACACAGACATACACACTTACACACACATACATACATAAATACACACACATACACACATACACATACATACACATGCATACATACACATACACACACATACACACCACACATACACACACATACATACACACACATACACACACACACATACACACACATACACACATACACATACATACACATGCATACATACACATACACACACATACACACCACACATACACACACACACATACACATACATACACACACACACACAAATCAATCAGTCAATCGTCAATCAATGTAATAATAATTTTTAAAACTTCCAGGTTGAAGGGCTGGAGAGTTGGCTCAGCAGTTAACAGCACTGACTGTTCTTGCAGAGGACTCGGGTTCGATTCCCAGCACCCACATGATAGCTAACAACCATCCAGAACTCCAGTTCCAGGGGAATTCAAAGCTCCCTTCTGACCTCCTCCGGCATTGCACAACATGGGTGCACTTATAGACATGCAGAAAATACATTCACACACATAAAAATAAAAATAATAAATAAAATATTTTTTTAAAACTTCCAGATTGTGAGCTGGGCGTGGTCGAGCACGCCTTTAATCCCAGCACTCGAGAGGCAGAAGCAGGCCAATGTCTCTGTGAGTTTAAGGCCAGCCTGGTCTACAAAGCAAGTTCCAGGCCAGCTGGGGCTACAGGAAGACCTTGTCTCAAAAAGACCAAAAAACAAAAACAAAGCAAAACAAAAAAACAACAACAAAAAAAAAAACACCCTAGGTTCAATTCCTAGGGTTTTTAATTTAATTAATTTATTATTTTTTTTAATTTTATGTGTATTGCCTGCATGTAGGTAAGTACACCCGTGTCGTGCACTGCCCTCAGAAGTCAGAAGAGGCTGTTGGATCCCTGGGACCAGAGTTAAGGACAGTTGTTAGCTGCCATGTGGGGTGCTGGGATTCGAACCCAGGTCTTCTGCAAGAACAGCTGGTGTTCTTAACCACTGAGCCATCTCTCCAGCCCCCCAATTCCTAGTTGTTTTATTTTTTAAATTGCTCCACCTTTTCTTAAAATATTGTTTCTCGGGGCTGGAGA